CGGCCTTCTACGCCCGCTTCCACCGGGGGAGCCGCTCCGAAGCCGAGGCGGCCGGGGCGGGGGATTCCGGAGCCACTCCGGAGCGAGCCCGGCGCCGCCTGGAGATCGTCTTCGTCTCGGCCGAGCAGGACCCGCAGCGCTGGCAGGAGGCCGCCCGGGCCATGCCTTGGCTCGCCCTGCCCTTCGCCGACAAGCGCCGGAAGGTGAGGACGTGGGGACGGGCCGACACGCGTCTCTCTCTCTCTCTCTCTCTCTCTCGGCGCCTGTAAGAAAGAAAGAAAGAAAGAGCGGATCGGGCCCTTCCGCACACGCACACACACACACACTTCCCCCGGACCCGATCCCAGCTATGGAGATGGAGGACCCGAGTCTCTGGATCGGGTCCCTTCCCGCTGCAAAAACTTAATACCTTAAGAAGGCACCCTGGACACGTGTGTGTGTGTGTGTGTGTGTGTGTGTGTGTGTTTAATTCCCACCTCTTTAAAAAACAAAAGCAAAACTACACTTTTTTGAGATAGGTAGAAAAGCTTTCAGGACCAACAGGAGGCTTCAGCACAAGGCTTTTTGGTGGGGAAGAAAAGCCCCTCTTCTGGCGAAGAGGCCTGTTGGTCTCAGGAAGCTTGCCAGGGTATGGTTTTTAAAGAATGTACAGTAGTAGCTGTTTAAATACAAGCTGCATTCCCTTCCTTTGTTTTAATTTTTTGCCATTTTTGGAGGGATCCGTAGCCAAAGTGTTGCAGAGACAGGGAGAGAGAAAGGGAGGGAGGGGGGAAATCAAATAGTTGGAAATCTTGGATTTCTTTCATAAATTTGCACACACACCCTTTTTTTTAAATGTGAAAAATCAGTGCCTCGTGGTGTTCGAAAACCATTGGGATCATATGCTGAATATTGATAGTTCATGATGTTTAATTTCAGTAGAAAGAGAGAAAGCCCTTAAATTTGAGGTGCCACAGGAGGCCTGTGACTAAGATGGCCCTTAAAACACACCGTGAATTTTTTTTAAAAAAGATGTCATAAAATTCATTTTCGGTTGAATGCTGAAAAGGCTTTTGCATGGATGCAAAACGTGCCCTGCAGAAGAAGCCCTTCCCGATCGCTTTAATCCAGATTAAACTCCATTTTGGGGCCCCCACCTCCCAATTCTTGGGAAAAGGGATTAGATAATAGTTAAACCCCATTCAGTGAACGATGGCGAACCGATTCCTTATCCCCATAAAAATTCCCCTGTTTCTTTTTTTTCCTTCCCTCTGTTACTCCCAATTCTTCCTTAATGGGGAAAAATTGGGGAAAAATTGACAGGCTTCCAGGTTCCACAAGAAGCTGGATTTTGCGGCGACTGAGTAACCCATGTGATTCAGCCATTTCTCCTCCATCCATTCCAGCTTTTCTTTGGAAGATGGGGGGGACTACCATTCCCATACTCCTCAATCCCATTGTGTCAGGGAGTAATGGGCTTTGTTGTGCCACCTCTCTCCGAGACCTGCCTGGTTTGAAGGGGCCCGGAAAGCCTGGCTTGGTTGGGATTCAGAAGTTCACACCCACATCCTGGTTTGGGGGGTGGGGTGGCTCTCCTTTAGCCCAAAAAGCGGAGTGGAGGAAACTCTTAAAATAATGTTTTTAAAAAATCAATTTATTTTTCAACCAGGAGGGATATATCTCCCCATAGAGTCTTTAGAAGGGGTTCCCCCCCGACATGTGCATCTAAAAATATGGGGTGGCTCTCCTTTAGCCCAAAAAGCCGGAGTGGAGGAAACTCTTAAAATAATTTTTTTTAAAAATCAATTTATTTTTCAACCGGGAGGGATATATCTCCCCATAGAGTCTTTAGAAGGGGTTCCCCCCCGACATGTGCATCTAAAAATATATACATTGAGATGAAATATTTATGGGTGTTTATGTGTGTTTCTTTGCTCTGTGAATCAAAAACAGAAACATGAAAATGAAAGGCGGGTTTTAGGATCATTCAGTTTCCTGGACCAGCTGGGATGAGGGCTGGAAAACCTCTCTTTTTATAATTTTATCATGCCTGAAAGAATGGATGGATAGATGGATTGATTGATTGATTCGGAGCGTCTTCCAGGGAAAGGAAGGAAATTTATACAAAAGCCATTGTATGGAAATCCACCATATTTTTCCATTTCATCCCTATATCCTAAAACCCTGACCTTATCTTCTGGGAAAGCGTTTGCATATCAATTAAGGTGGAAACAAGAGCTTCTCCTCCTGAGATACTGATTTTTTTTTTCATTTCGAACCTAGCAGCGGGCACTTTTGTGTGTGTGATGGGGAGAGATGTGTACGAATTAACATTGACGGCGGAATAATTGCTGTTGAATGGTCCGGAAAAAAAGAAAGAAAGAACAGAAAATTTTAAAAAATATCTTAGGGTGGCTTTAGAAAAAGAAAGTCTCAGGGGAAGAATGTCTCTGTATAACTCAGAACCCTGGTGCATTTGTGATAATACTACATTTGTAGTATTTTTGTGGCCCGGGAAAGATAGGATCCCTCTGCTTGTCTTGTTTTGGGGTTCTGCATGAGGACTAGCAGCTTTTCTTTCTTTCTTTCTTTCTTTCTTTCTTTCTTTCTTTCTTTCTTTCTTTCTTTCTTTCTTTCTTTCTTTCTTTTTTCCATTAAGTGGTATAGAACGGACAGATTTAAAATATTTTTAGAAGGGAAAATTAACAACGCTACATCAAGAAAGTGGTATAGAACGGATAGATTTAAAATATTTTTGAAGGGAAAATTAACAACGCTACATCAAGAAATAATAGTGAACTGAAAGCTTATGAAAATAGCAGACCTCTTAGATGCCAAAGCCCTGGGGTTGGACATTTAATCCTCCTCCAAACCATATCTCCCATCATCCTCGGCCATTCGCCATGGTAGCTGGGACTGATGGATGTTGTAGTCCGACAACCCCTGGCGCGCCATGCGTTTCGCATCCCTGCTTAATTTACTGTTGCAGCCAGTGCTGATAAATCGAGAGATTAAGTTGGAGTGGAGGGCTGTGGTAAAGATGGATAATTTATGACGTTGGTGAAGCGACCCCTGATCACGGTGGAGTCCCAGGGGGCCTCCACCAGGTCTAGAAAACTTTTTGCCTGCAGGTTGGCTCCTAAACAACCAGAGAATTTCCTTTCCTTTTTAGGTTACGGATCACCATTGGCTCATAGAAATTTAGACCGATCAGGCGGGCCGATGCAATGGGCTCAGCGGATAGGGCAAATTTGAGACAAATGAGTCCGGACTTGATTGTGAAACGGGGTGGCTCTCCTGCCCAGGTATCCAACATGTGCCGTTTTTCTTGTGTCTCCTGATTTAATCAGCTTGGCATAACGGACTCCACTCTGTGCCTGTGCTACATATTATACAGATTATATATATTATACATGGAGTGGAAACATGCTCAGCTCTTCTTAAGGGCAAACGAGTCGATAAAATTGAATTACCGGCCTCTAAACTTTTTATTCGGGCCCGCTTTGGGCCCGTTAACCGGCCGTTAAAAAAAGGAAGCGTTTAACCTCATTGGTGTTGTGCTTGTTGAAAACGAAGAAACCACCCCGAAAATTCTGGAATAACTTTGTTACTTGGTTGTTTTTATATTTACATTTTAAACTTACTTTCAGTAATTTGAAGTGTCTGTCTTTTTTTTTTTTGCATCTGTGCCTGTTTTCAGACACGACCTGAACCACGTTTGAACCTCGCTTCTCAGATAACGAGGGGTTTTGGAGGAAAATCTGATTGTTTTAAGATTGCAGTTGTATCTGCCGTTCATTATCCAGGCTAAGGCAGGCTTATTGGGGATCACCCAGTTGCTCGGTCTGCATCTAGAACGGACCCCCTGAATTAGTGGGATTTGCAGCCTTCTTGCGTTCTGTTGGTTCCGCGCGTCTTCTCTAAAGTCAACCTGCATAATCGTGGCATCTCATAGATGGTAGATGTTTGAGAAATGCCCATTCAGATGAGGCTTGTTCTGCCTGAATCTCAAGTCTAGGCAAGAAATTTGTGGAGAACAGTGGGGGGGGGGAGGACTCTGTTGGCTTTAAATTTAAGCTCGTGGAGGAAATTAAATTATGTTTAAAACAGGAAGCTGCTGTTCCTTAACGCTGGAGGGGTTTAGCAGGCCTGATTCAGGCACGGATTGTCTGGATTCTTCTAAAAGATCCAGTTAATTCTTCTCTCTTGTTTTTTTCTTCTTCTTTCCTGAAATGACCGCAAGCGTTGGGGCTTCTTTAACGCCACAAAAGATGGCACATAACTGTGCCAGCCTTTAGAGCGCCACAGGTCTCTTGGTTCTGTTTGCAGCCCCCCAAGCAGACCTGGTTGCCTGTGCTGAGGTTTGACTAAGAATCATTTGCACCTCTTCTCCGTTGGCAGCCGGGTTGAGAAAGAGACCTGTGTCGCTCAAAAGCTTGCACGCCATGTGTTGAATCTTTGACCCCAGTCGACTCTTGGATACGGTGGCATTTTCAGATGTTTTCCCATCCCAGGATTCATGGGTAACCTGTGAAGGCATTGTTTTGCATCGACCCGTGTTGAACTGATAAAGCAAATTCTCGTAGCGTAGTGAGGGAAGGGCAGGGCTGGCCAGCGCCGGTGACGCCACCCGAGCTTCCTTATGCACCCTGATCCCTGCAAGGGCGTGACGGGAGGGCTCGGCATCTCAAAACAGACACCGATCCGGGGGAATAGTGAATGTTTCAGTCATCAAGTGTGAAGAGGGTGCTTAGCGGGGTGTGTGTGTTTCTGGAATAGCGAGAATGTCAGCTGAGCTAACAGAGGCGCTGAAGAACCACTTGAGGTTCTTCAACCTCTTTAAATTTAAGTCATCTTAACGCAGAGAGAGGGGGAGAAAGTTCTGGCGGTGCACAGTGCTCGATTTCTACCCTTGTGATTCTGGGGGAGAAGGGTTAGCACACACAGCGGGACTTCTGAAAAGCAGATAGTGGCTCAGCCTTGCACTGTCTTGTGGCAGGCTGTTCCAGCGGCTGTTGTACGCATGTTCCAGGAATAAAAAACAGCGTCCTTTCCTTTTCTTACGTGGCTTGTGTCTCTTGTGTGAGTGAGTCGGCCCCATCGTTCCTGATGCTTTCCTTTGGATTTACAGACAAGCCCTGTGGTTCTAGTGATTTTTCCCCCCTTTATGAGCACATTAAAAATTGGGAACTGGCGTTTTCTGCTTTGAAATGCCCCTCGAGGA